GTTCAGCTAAAAGTAAACTGTAAGTATCTTTGTGTTGAACGTATAAATCGAATAATCGTATAATAAATTGTATATCAGTAAAATCAACGTAAAACGCATTATGTTCTCGTTTTGATGTCTCGGTAGCTTCCCCATACTTCGCTGCACCATCGAGGCTCGTCACCGTGAAGAAGGGTGACACAGCAACTTTGCATTGCGAGGTACACGGCGACACACCGGTCACCGTCACCTGGTTGAAAGGAGGAAAAATTGAGTTAAATCCCTCGACGAACTATCGGTAAAGCTGGGATTAGCTTGAATACTGTCGAATGAAACTCTTTGATATATTGCTAGGAACTTATATTTTTAAACGCGTGATAGAAAAAAGTTGTTTCAAAGTTTTATTAACTTTTAATTAAATTTTGATCAATTTTTTTTATTTGTTTCTGTATGAGATGATTCGTCATTTGTTGGCGAGTGTTTTGTATAAGACGAATATGTACATATACGAGTGTTTATATTAGAAAGAATTTTAATTCATAGAAGTTGCGTTCCAATTATTTTTCTGTTAGATATTAATTATACATAGGATTATGACTAAATTTTTTACGGTTGCTTTATCATGTGTGAAGAGTTACGGTGAAACGAGAGGTAACACCGGATGGTGTGATTGCACAATTACAAATTTCTTCGGCGGAAGCCTCAGACAGTGGCGCGTACTTTTGTCAAGCAAGCAATCTGTATGGTCGTGATCAACAGTTAGTGCAACTCCTCGTACAAGGTATAATTTCATCGATGAAAATAGATATAACTAAACAAATATTCGTTTAAAGAACGATCGATTTCATTCTAATGTAGAGCCACCACAGCCGCCAAGTTCTTTAGAAACTGCCATGGTTGCCAGTCGAAGCATTAACGTTAAATGGCAACATAAATCACAAGACACCAGTGAAGTGACTAAATATATTCTCCAATATAAAGAAGGCGATGGTGAATATTTTTCAATTATTTAAAGAAAATATATCATAGTAAAAAAATAAAAATATCTAATAATAAAATATTTATCATTATTGTCATTCTAGATCACATTGCTCGTTGTAACGTTTAGTAGATCAAGCAAATTTTGATTCATAATTGATCAAAATTTGAATTTGCATAAACACTCCGAGTCTAGTGATATGTATCAACATTTATTGAATAAATTGTATTAAAACAGCTGGAATGTGGCAACAACAAGAATTCACCGGGCCGCCTCTTTCGTATGCAGCTCTAATAGATGAATTAAAACCGGCAACTAGATACACTATACGCGTAATAGCCGAAGGACCAGCGGGTAGATCAGTACCCTCGGCAGAACTGATTGTCAGAACCGAGCCACAAAGACCGGCTGGACCCCCGATTAATCTTGAAGCTAGGGCTCTGTCCTCCTCTGAAATTTTAATTACTTGGTCGCCACCACTGCCTGAACTCCGACACGGTGACATTCAGGGATTCAATGTTGGCTACAGGGAAACAAGGTAGGAATATCGAAGCAGAGTAATCTGTCTTGTACAGTCGCTGTACTTTAAAATTCGTGCACAAAAGATGCAACTCTATAAGTAAACATTTTATGTTAGTAAATTTTACATATATTTTACAATTTCGGAATTATGAAAAATGACCTATGTCTAATGAAAATCAACCAGTTCTATAAAAACTTTCTTATGGGGTCCAGTACTTCATAATTTAGTTAGATATAACTCTCCTGCAATGTAATAATTACAAATACGCTCATCGAAGTAATATGATGAATATTTTGTTTAAAAGAATCCATATTGAACAGAAATTAAAGATACTAGAAATGTTCTTAAATAAAATTTTTGTCAGGTGCCACACTTCATTTTCATAGTGTTAAATTTTTGTAGTTGTATAAAAGTACCATCAAATTTAATATGCTTAATATATTTGGACTTAATTAATTAGAATATAAATGCTGTAATAAATACAATGGTGTACAAATCCTTTTTGTCACCACTACATTTCAATTCTAATTATACAAATGTTTTGAAGCACATTGAACTATTCAAGTTCAGAACTCCATTACGCTAGCAATCTTCTTTCAGCTCGGCGAATCCCTCGTATAACTTCAGCTCTGTGTCCGGAGACGGAGAAGAAGGGGGTGCAGAACTTCGGCTAACAGGCCTTCGACCCTATACAAAGTACACTTTAGTGGTTCAAGCGTATAATCAAGTTGGATCTGGTCCACTTTCCGAACCTTTGTTCACACAGACAATGGAAGATGGTAAATGATATTTTTTAAGATGTCAAATAATTGTGTATTTCGAAAAGTATATTTAATTACATAAATTAATTTATTTAGTGCCCAGTATGCCACCCGAAGATGTAAGATGCGCTGCGTTAACTTCACAATCACTTCAAGTATCTTGGCAGCCACCACCTAATACGCACAGCAATGGTATTATTCAGGGATACAAGTTACATTATGAACCTATCCTGGCGGATATGTGGCGCAGTGTCGATGAAATGGAAGTAAGCATAATATCTTTTTTATTTAGACAGATTTAAACTGAGATTCTTCAACGTCATATTGTTTTAGGTTCGTAAGACTAACGTTTTAACCATTATTCTTACGGGTCTGAGGAAATATACAAATTATACCATTCAAGTATTAGCCTTTACAAGAGTTGGAGATGGAGTACCTACAACAGTAACTTACTGCCAAACGGAAGAGGATGGTAATTTTTGTCAAACTAATTGACTAATGTTTACGCAATTGTAGAAGTATCTCTAGTAAATAACTTGAAACTTGAAACAACTTGAAATAATCTTATAAGTAGAAATGTAATAATCGCAGTATTTTTAATTTATCCACAGTGCCAGGCAGTCCAGCGGATATAAAAGTGGTGGTAAGCTCACCGCAGGCACTTTTTATTTCTTGGCTCCCACCCTTAGAACCAAATGGAATTATTACAAAATATAATCTGTATACGAGGTAAAAACAACCACACCAAAATCGTTACATAAATTTCTATTTAGTTTTATTACTATAAAAATATAAATGCTATAGGGTCGTAGATGGCCGAGAGGAACTTAATCACGGTAAAAGAACACTGCCAGCAACAAGCACTTATTTCGAAGCGACTGATTTACAACAACACGTAGAATATCAATTTTGGGTGACTGGTAGCACCCGTGTAGGCGAAGGTCAAAGTTCCAGAGTAGCCGCACAGGTTCCAACAAATCGTGTACCAGCGAGGATTACGTCTTTTGGAGGCCACGTAGTGCGACCATGGAGAGGATCTGCTACGTTGGCTTGCAACGCAGTTGGCGACCCTACTAGAGAGTGGTATAAAGGACAATCCGAACAAATTCGTACTGACACAACCAGAAACATACAAATTTTACCGTCTGGAGAACTCGTGCTGTCGAATTTACAATCACAAGATGGTGGAAATTATACTTGTCAGGTGGAGAACGCTCAAGGCAGTGATAAGTTACATTATACTTTGACTGCACAGGGTAAGTTTAATTTTTGAAGGATAAATGGTTATTAATAGTTGAAGTTGTAAGAAGATTAATTGGAATTGTTTCACAGTGCCGCCCAGTGCACCCGTTCTTTACGTAACGAGTTCCACATCAAGCAGTATTTTGTTGCACTGGAAACCTGGACACAATGGTGGTGCTTCACTCACAGGCTACACGTTACATTATCGAACGACACATGGAAATTTAGACGAGTTGCAACTATCTCGTCATGCCACAAGTCACGAATTAAAGGTATAATAGACATACATTTATTCTATATTCATATCTTTAACATAAACGATTTCCAAAGCGTAATGAAATGTTTCAAGAATATTTTATACTGAACGTATTACTGATATAATCTATTAATTTCCAGGGTCTCCTATGTGGTAACACATATCAACTATACTTGACATCTCACAACAAAATCGGGAGCAGTCCATCGTCACCAGTCCTCTCAGTTCGAACACAGGGACAGGCACCAGGAATACCACCAGCAGCAGCTTTTCTCAGTCCAAACTCGACCACATTAGTCCTCCGACTTCACGTGTGGCCAGATAATGGCTGTCCGATTCTTTTCTTCGTGATTCAATACAGACCCATAAACGAATTTCATTGGACATTAGTCTCAAACAGCGTGAAAATGCAACGAAGATTTGTGGTGACAAATTTACAACCGAGTTCGGTTTATCAGCTGAAAGTTGAAGCCCACAATGTAGCTGGCAACAATCAAGCGGAGTTCACATTCGTAACATTGACAAAGGAAGGCGGTAAGCTTGATGATATAACTATTCTTCGTTCCAAACCAATTGATCATTAGAGCTGAATTCCAAAATTCGAATAATAAGCAACAAATTTATCATTTCTCAATTATCAAGAGCAGTTAATTTATAATGGACAAAGGATAGAGACATTTCACAGCTTCTAACAAAATTTGAAATAGAGCAAAACGAATCAATCTGGTGACAATATTCAAGTTGAAAGAATTATATCCAAAAGCACTGTGTTCCTGAAACCTTGCAGAACCGCCTCCTCCAGAACTGTCGAAACGTGGAATTGCTTCGTCCGTACCATTCTACGCTGATGTGAAAGTGATGCTGCCTCTGATCGTGGCCACTGTTGCCTTAGTTGTCGCTGTGGTCATCGTAGGTCTTCGCTGGCGAAGCAGTAAGTTGTTCATTCTAAATTTCTATCAATTGTTGAACTTTAATATCTGAATGGTTTACCTACATCGCAGTTCACTCTGTATTTTTAATGTCATTCGCCATATTATTTTGAAATCGTTAAATTTAAAAAAATTAATTCCCTGTAGAGAAGGCGGATGTTTCATTAATTATAAATTTAAACCATATATGAATAAAATAAATTACTGTGATATTTGATTATCTATATTTTATAATAATGTTTCATCTTGCATATAACCCATGAGATGTTGATGTTCCACTTGGTGAAACTCACAATCAATGGATCATGAAACAATTTTGATCGGCGATAGATATATTGTAAATAAATCCTATTTATTCATACAGGGTACATACATATTTTATTTCTATTTATATATAAGGATATCTCGGAGACAGAATGCAGCGTCCCATGAAAGAGACTCAAGAGAATCAACAGAATGCCGAAACTCAAAGAGAGCGTTACTACGCGACGATTCACAAGGTGGCTTTACAACAAGCGGCGAATACGGGTGGAGGGCCCGACAAGATTCCAGGTGAACCTTTGTTACGATACGGACGACAGCCAGGTTTGGTACTATAATTGTTGTTCAGGTAAAAGAAAATCGCACGCGTAGCGCTGTTCAACCAAAGTGGGCAGACCCGTTAGCGTTCGATTGCAGTTCACAAAGCAAAGGTGGATTATTTTACATCTTCCTTTCATCACCATAGATCATCGTCTTTTTTCTTTTTACCCTTTATGCGACCGATCTTGAATGTTTCACTCGTGTTCCACTGCATATTTCATTCGACACTTCATCATGCATTGCTTCTGCCTTCATCGACCACCCTCTGTAACTTTTTAGAAACTGTATCACTTAAGATATCACTAAAATTTCTAAATTAATAGTGACGAGAACTCATTAGAGAGATTTGTAGTCAATTCTGCTCTCAGGAGAATATTATAAAAAAATGTATTCTGATATAAAAGAATATTATTGTAGTTACATTATTGGATATTTTATTCTATACATTCAAAAACATTTATTAACAGAATAAACCAAAAAATTCAGAGCTGCGTTTGATTGATGATGATAGTCTCGTGATATTCTCCTCAAGAAACCAGTTGCTTCTCAAGAATCATAGTTCACGTTAGAAATTGTAACAGAGAAATTACAAAATGAAAGTAAAATCATTCTATAGTAAAGCAGATAAAAATCGATTCTCACATAAAAAATTCATCCCAACGCGATTTGAAAGGTAGGCAATGCCTCTGGTGGGTTACAGAGACAGCGGAGGACATCTCGCCGTACGCTACGTTCCAGCTTTCGGAGGGTGGCGGGGGAAGCCTGGCAGGGTTGGGAGGGTTGGGAGGACTGGGAGGCGCGGCGGAAGCTTCAGCAGCCGGCCTCCACCCGAACAACACTCTGCTACACAGTTTCATGTATCACGAGCACGCCATGACCGAAGGGTGCGCAAGCCCTCCACCTGCCGCGACGGTAAGTTCACAGTTTAAATTAGTAGCTAATAGCTTAAGAATGTTAATATTTTATTAATTTATTGAGCACTAAATTCTTATTTTCCCATTAAATTATAATCTGTAATATATGCAACCATTAGTACCACCACAGGGCTTACTACATTAATTGATCGATATATTCATTACATTAATTATAAATAACGTAACATTAATTACATATATTAATTCCTATATTAATCGCGATATTAATTGTTATGAGGTAACTGTTGATTACTAGCGTACATACATATGTATTAAACATATTGCAATTTCCCATAGACATTTGTTTTGAATAAATTGGCCCTTCCACATCTTTTTCACGTATTAATTCATATTTTATATATTAGGGGAAATAAATAAGTTCTGTTCCTGTTATCATTTGTTCATAAAAAAAAGCAAGTAAAGTTTTATACAATTATTTCTACTTGATACGTTTTAATGTTAATGATATTTCTTAAAGTAGTGATTCATTTGTAAAATGTGATGAGAAGTCACAGGTTTTATATTTTTATTAGACCTAGATATCGTGTTATATTCACAGAGCATGAAGAGCGTTTCTTCGAGGAGACGACAGCAGAGAAAGCAACAAACTCCGGGCGATGTCGAGACCGACGAGAGCGAGTCTGACCCGGATCAGTTGACGAGCTCTCGCACAGAGTCTTCCAACCAACTGGACGCGGGCAAACTCAAACACAGTATGCGTAATCATCCATCCAACTCCTTCATAAAATAATACCTTAGTAATAAAATTTTACTTCTAGTTCGGGCCGTTTCCGATTTCATTTATCACGGTACGTCGAGCACTTCTTCAGACATCTCGCCCATGTCAGAGCAGAAGTCACTTCCTCGAAGAGGACGATCTAGGTAATTGATAAATAATCTATCTTTCATTAATTTTTAATATTCTTATATTAAATACATTCATTAGTTAAATTATCATTCGTCTCATTCATAATTCGTCTCATACATAATGTAACACATCGTACAGAGCGTTTCTTCAGTAATTAATTTGATACATTGTTTTCTTTTAAAATTGTCACGCGCGCGCGCGCACACACACACACACACACACACACACATGCAGAGAGCTTTCAATATAACAATTACGCAGTTATAAGACAATGCAATGAATGAGATCAACATCATAGATAATAGAGGCAAAATGAGAAAAGTAAATTTATTAGAATATATATTCATTGACTTATAACATCGTTAAAAAATTTGCGATCGTTATATTATAACAACTGAATAGTATACAATTAAGATCTAAAGGGTTACTTTTTAATCAAACTTATCAAATCCCAAAATATTTTACGAAGTTTCAATCCCAAATGATACAAGTAGAATACTCGCATAGCATATCACACGCGAAACTCGATCATAAAATAATGATCCAAATTTGATTTCCAAAAAAAGGCCATGTATCATGTTCATGTTCATAGATCATCCAATATTCATAAAACTCTCTGTACGGCCAAGATTCAGCCAACAATGCTGAAAAAAAGCAAACTCATATATGTCATATTCTCACCCGTAGTAAGTTCATTTCTTTGGCTGTCCCGTAAGATGGCATGTTCCCAGCAGGAGCTCTCTACGCACATTATTACCGCCGATATCGGTCGCGGAGACCACATTCGTCGGAGGCAATCAGGGAAACGTAGTGCCAGGGAATGGCGACCGTTCCGACAGGCCAGAACTCAGCGAAGCTGAGTGCGATATCGACTCCTTGAAGAAGCTGAAACTCGGTCTGAGGAGCTCCCTATGGTCAAGGCCGAGTACCCAAAATAATCCTTCCTCCGATTACTCTATCGCCGTTTAATTCGTTCCACTCTCTTCCTCTGTGTGCCTCCTCTACTTCCCGTTATTGTCCGTGGTAGGCCAAGATATCTCTGTTCTCCCTCTCTTGATCCCATGGTCCAAAGAGTTAGATAAATGAAAAAAAAAATCCTTTTATCTGGTGTCTCGCCGGATGTTTCGACGTGGTTAGATTTAAAATGAAAAAGAAAAAAAAAAGTTGAAAGATAGGACTTGGTGACGCGTAAGTACGCGCGTCCGTTTCCCTTTTTCTCTCTGTCGATTATAGATGAAAATTAAATTATATTCGTTGCTGGGAATATCGGCAGATGAATCGCTCATAGATAACGGAGAGAGGCTAAATAAACGAAATATTAAAATAAATATCGTGAAATGAACTGTATCACGTGCATTGTTAACAAAAATAATTCGACTGACTCGTTATCTCTCGTTAATGGAACGTCGAACAAGTTATGCACTTTTTACCTTTCTCTTCTTTATCTATGACGCAACGAGATATTATATCCGTGCGTGCGTGTACGTAACGAGTGAATGGTCAAGAAGTTGAATGAGTTAATCGCGTGTAAGAGTGCGTGCCAAACGACAATTTGCTCAGACCGCTGCGACTCGTTTGCCGGCGGGCGACCCATTCGAGACCAAAGACTTAATCGTACGAACAGAGCACGGGAAAGTCCTTGGAGCACCAGCGAATCGTGGGAAACGATGGCATCTTGTATTCGTGGAAATCTCGCGTTTCGATCTTTCATCGAACGATGGACGATCGGCTTTGAACGTTCGTGCGGTTGACCGATTGGATATTCCAATGATATAGACGAGTAGAAGTAATTATTAATAGAATAACGATGACAAAGAAGCGGTACAACACAATTGAAAAAACGTTTACTCGACGTCGATTAAATTGATCATTACGTAACTAATTGTCACGATCTAAACAACTTGTCTCCTCTCGATGCACACCGGGAGCATTTATTTTGGTCACGCTGGCCTACGCTGTCCGTTCTACGATTCTAGACAGGTCCGTCGTTATTTTTTGCAACTACGTTCTGCGTTCGTTTTTCTATCGACTTCTCCGGCGCAATCGATTCGATCATTATACAAACTGCGACTCTTGAGTTTTATGTTATGTTTTGTATATATGCGAAATGTTTTATTTTATGAGTCACGGTAGATGGTATATGTATTTCTCTGTTTCTAAAATATTCTTTTTCATTTATTTACGACGCTTAAAAATTCCTTAACACGGCTATATCAAAAAATTGACTCATCATCCCGTACTATCGTACCGATTAACTAACACTTTTCCTAAATATGAATCAAATATTAAATTTCGCAAACGATGATTAACATTAGAAGTTAGTCATCTTGTTATCTTTCACTGTGTTAGCTAATCTCATCAACTATTTATTCTAATATTGCAAATGTTACTGAATAATATGCTCCTCGAGCAACAACGAATCTCAACAAACGGTTCAAAGCTCGTGTAACGTTCGTTACCGAAAGAAGCGATTTTTTCAATTCGTAAGACTGATTTTCTTACTCTCCGTTCGATTGCGATTGTTCACGAGCTCGTATTCGATCTAATTTCAACGAACGAATCGTCGGACATCGTTTTCCACGTTCTCGATCCGTGCTCGCCTGTGTCCAGTTAAATACGTGCGCGTGGTATTAGAATCGGAATGAGAGTTATTAACCGAGAAGAAACCCGAAAGAGAGTGCCGATTCGGCGCGGTTTTACGCGAGCTAACGTAAAACTATTCGTGGTACGTTTTAGAAGACAACAATGAGACGCGTTTGCCCGTCTTCAAGACGGGCTCGTCGAAGGTTGGGCTCTGTTGCATTGTAAAGTTTATACGTACGTCTAAACACCGTTGATTACTTTAAGTCCGTTATTAAATCCTAAGACTTCTAAGTAAGGCATTATTTCCGCGTGCGGGCGGACCGCACGCTCCTCTCCCGCTCTGTAAATTTTTCGCCGTGCCGACAAAACGCTAGTCTAACATCGACAGCGACCATTTCGACTCTGGATCGTTCGTCGATTAAATACATCAACATCTCTCTTCGAATGTCGCGCACTTCGACCGAAAGACTCGCGAATCGTACTCAAATTATATTCGAGATCCAAACGGTCGTTATTTTCTGATTAAATAATAATCAAACTCGAATTAACCCATTAAGGTCCAACATTGCATTAACGCAATATGATAAGTAATATTTTCCATTTTTTTAATTTTATACACCCAATCGTCAATCGATTTTATATTATCAAAGCGTCTCTTTAGTTGGTTTTTTTTTAGATCAGATACGTATTCTTTCCATCAGTTTGGATATTACAACAATATCGATTATCAGAACATTAGTCTTTTTAGGATAATATACAGGGTGTTTTGTTTAACTGGGGATGGTAAAATATCTTACGTAACATTATAATAAATTATATATACATATATATCGTTTGGATTTTAATGGGTTGGATGGCGAGTACGAAATAACAAATTGCACGCGAATACGTTCGTGTGGCATCGACGATGGCTCTTAAATGAGCAATCCGAAGAACCTGTTCTCACACAGATTTCGAGGTTTTTTCGGTAACGGTTGAAATCAAGAAAAAAAAAAGAAAGAAAGAAGCATATCGATCTCGTTAAAATTGAAATCAAAGAACAAATGGAAAATAGAAACGTGGCGAAGCACCGCGGTCCGCGCGAGCCGCGACAAATTCGTACGTTCCCTCAGACTGATTTGAAAGTAAAAATAACGTTGCAATTCACGAGTTGCAAACACATACTACCACGACACTGCCATTCCGCAGACTAACTCGAATAGTGCCAAATCATGGCCAATTTCCTACTTCCGGAAACAATAATTTTACAATTGCGATTTTTATCATTACCAGGTAGCAGGTTTTTCGAGATTTTTAGGATTTTAAAAACGAGCGGTTTTTTCGACGAACTTTATAATGAATTTTCAATCGTTTCCTTCGCGAAATTCCAACCTGAGTTCCAAGAGTGTGCGCGACACTGCGAAGACGAGGGCATATAGGTATACGTATATATATAAATTTATATAAATATATATATACATATGTACTTAAAAGCGCGTGTAAGCGTATACATTACGGTTCAACATACATGAATGTATATATCGAGAAGCACGTCAATCAAACTCGTAGAGTTCGATTAATTTGTTAGATCATTTTCGGGAAGCGGGTATCGTTTATCGCGACGATAATAACGTTTTTTGTACATTTTTGCTTATATCGCCGACCGACTGACGTCCGCTTAACCAGGACTCCGTATATTCGTCGATATGCCCGGATTCTTTTTCTATTCGATTGTTTTTTACTTCTGGGAATTTCTGGCTCCAGACAAAATAATCTTTCAAAATAATCATACCTATCGGAATCAATTTTTCGAGATTAAATGAACGCTTATCTTTTATTTTATCGATGTAGATAATGTAGGTATTGTAAGGACTGACAGTTTAAAATACATACTTGAAAGTATTGATCTAGGATCTGGGGGGTGAGTTATGGATTCTGGCTCACTTTTAGAGCCACTATATATTGGGATGTAACAAACGGATTACTATAATTCGAATCATCGTATTGAAGTATCTATTATTGCAAGATTCAATAAGATTTTCTATACATCTTTGATTTTATTCGTCAATCGTTATTTATTAAGAATATCTGTTCGATGAAGAGCCAGAAATTCCTCGAACACACACGACTCTACTGCCAATTATTTCCTCCGCGTTAATCGTTGAGCCACGAACGATGCTTCCAACTGTACGTTTCAGTTAAAACGGTGACGTCACTTAAAACACCTCGAAATACACACAATCGCATTACACACGGGTACACGTTATGAAAAGTAATGCAAAAATCTAAAAAACAATAGCGATGGAAGTTCATCAACATCGACATAACAAATATAAGATTTTACGTCCTTCTGGAAAATCCAAGCTAGTCGTACAATTGTATCGTATAAGTACTATATTCTCAACACGTAAAATGTAAAACTAAAATGACGTAGCAAAAAAACCTTTTAGCGAAAAATATCGATAATGATAAGCATCAGCTTTACAACGTCTAAAGTCTAAAAATTGATCAATGATGGACTTTGTATCGCTATATAGTTATCTAGATCTTTCGTGTATCTCTATAAAAATTCATCAAACTCCCCTTGGTCGTGATTCTTCATACGGAACTGTCTTTATTTCGATTGAGTATTTGAGATTACGTCACCGGTTTGACCGCGTTTGCGAATGAACGAAGGCGTGGGGAGTGAGCAAATCAAACGAACAATTATTACTGTAACTATACTACTAGCATCGTTGTAAAGAAAAATAATAATAATAATAAAGAACTGAAAGAAAAGGTAAAGAAAGACGAGATGAAGGCGCGAATGTGAGGGTGTGTCTGCGTATCGAGATTCTATTCTTGAGTGGCATGGCTACGTGCGGAGGGACGTCGGAAAAGCCCGTCGAAAAAGTCGCGATCTTTCTCCCTGTTTCAAACAATTGCGAAGCAAACGAAGCGACGTAACGTGACTATCAATGCCACGGTTGAAATTGTATTCGAGTCGGTGGTATGGCGTTTCGAAGCATTGTGTCGATCGTAGAATCGATAAAATAAATTGATATCCTGTAAAGTACTGTACGAAAATCACCTTTGTTGATTCTTTGCTTCACTCCTTGAAGATTTTAGATAAATGAATATTAACCTGTTAACCGGGACAGACGAGTTGATTCGTCGCTTAATCATCGTCGATCTCTTGATCGTCAGAATTTCTTTATTTAGGGATTTTCTATTTTATGAGAAAATTCCGTTAATGAGAAAGTTTCGTTTTTATGAGAAATGAATTATGTTATATTTATATGTATAAAAAATAAAGCTGGCTTAATTCAAATTGATCTTTATTAAGCTTCGACTTTGAGATTACGAGAGTGTCTGATTAAAAAACGACTCGGTTAACGGATTAATTAATTAGCGAAGGTTACTATACACTCTATGATTGAATTTAAATACGCGAATAAGTAAGTTCGAGCATGGCTTTTAATAGAAAAGATACAATATGGATACACTGGCGTAGAAAATAGCAGAGTTCGATATTACAAAAGTTTGACTAATATCCGGTGAGTTCAGCAAACGTGGAATCCATATCGTCGCAGATGTATTTGTATTTCTCTTTCTCTCTGAATAAGAAGTCTGAAAAACAAAAGCGTGACAGTAAATACAGACAAGGGAGGTCTTCGCTAAAAAGTATGAAAAGAATTGTAAAAAATACCTTCTCTTGCATCCAACTCTTTCGAAAACACTTTAACCATCTTCTCCGCGATGATGGCTCTTTTTTCAGCAGCTTTCAATTTCACTTTCAACTCCTTCAGCTGTGTTTTAAATTCCTCTACCCTTTGATTAGCCTAAAAAATTTCCAAAATGGGAATTTTTTAACTAGCTATTAACTTCAATCTTTTGCACTTTGTTTCAGAATCTTTTAACCATCAAGAAGTTGATTATACGATATTATAGCGTCGATTAATAAATATATTTCTCAAATATAAAGAAGATACTTCATTGTTTCATATTGTTTTTAATAAATATTCAAAAAATATTTGATAAATAATATATTATTACCTTTTCTTCAGATACTTCCAAAGATTTCAATATGTTACCAACGATGAACAATTCGTCCTCTCGTTCCATTATCTTGCTGTGAATCATTGTACGAAATTACTTACGGTACATGGAACTAGAATTTGTAAAAAATTATCATAAAATGATTTACGATTCGTCCTACATACGCCTCGCTCGATTTCACTCTTTCTTCAGCCGCTTCCAATTCATCTTCGACGAAAGCCAATTTCCTCGAGATCTCGTCCGATTTTGTATCAGCGTCTTCAGCGATCAACCTCGCCTCCTTCAACTGCGCCATCAGTTGATCCATCCTTTCCTCGTCCTGCTTACTTCTGTTCTCCAAAACTTTGCAGATGCTAAAAGCAACAATTTACTACGAACAAAGTCTCAAACGTTAATCAAATTCTTTTCGTCTTCTTTCACACAGGACAAACCGTTTCGCGTCTTCCGCGGTCTCCATCGCTTGTGCCAATTTTGCTTGAGCCGTCAAACGGCGTTCCTCCGATTTTTCCAAATTCTGCAAACACTGCTGCATCTTTCTGTTCAGAACCGCCAACTCCGATTGCGTCTGTTGTCGTTCGTAAAGATTATCTTTAATTATTCTTACGTTTCGTAAAAATGATCATTATCCCAAAAATTAAAAATTAATTTTCATCAGAATAGAATTATTTTAATTTACAATATTTATGGAATGTATCGAAAGAAGATTTTATGTTTCTACAAATCACCAACCACGATATAAACTCTCTCTTTTTGCTCGAGATCTCTATTCGACTTTTCCAACTGAGCTTTGCTCAGTTCCAAGTCGCGTTCCATCTGCACCAGCTTCTTCGCCAGTTCCCGAACTTCGTCCTTCAGCTTTTCTTCTCGCCGATTCGCCTCCTTCGCCTGTTGATCGCATAGATCGGCCCTGTCCATCGCCAGATCCTTCTCGATTTTCAACGTTTGCAGGCGTTTCTTAATCGCGTTCATCACAACGATCGACGTTTCGACGCGAAGCTATATGGAAAATTCGATCAATAAATCTTTTATCAACGAAACTCTGTTTTCTTTTAATAAAATCTGGATCGTTCTTCGATAATGCAAAAACGTTAATATTCTACTATGAGTCATCTTAATTGATTAAAAGATTTTAATCAAGGTACGCACACTATTGATGTGCAATCTATATATAAAAAGTATTTCTATGAATTTCCCGAATTCTTGAAATATTTTTAATTAAATCTTGGAGTATTTTCTCTCCATTCTTCTTTAAGAGTAATGAATATTTTATAAATAGAAGAATTCAAATGTAAGAGAGAACATTGTTCTAATTGTACAGATATAGATGTTGGAAAATTTAATAAAAACGGGAATATTCGACACACATGAATCGATATTTTAAAGAAGGAACGATTAAGTATTGAAAATTAGGGAACTTAGTTGCGTCAAAAGTTCATATATTGGAAACACTTTTTTACTACTCCGATATTACACTAATTCTAAGGCTATTATTAGCCCATTTAAAACACTTTCACACTACGTTAAAACAGAATGTCGAAGAAAACGTTTCACCCTATTTGTGAAAGAATTATGATCTTACGTATTAATATATTAAAAATAAAATTCGTAAAGATAATATGATTGCACGGTCTTTCAAAGCAAAGCTGGCGGGTTACTGCACTCCGTGACCGACGAGGACAATGCTTTATAGACTCAAAGAAATGCAAAAGAACCTAATAGTCAGTTTCTTTAGTTAGACGCAAACGAATTCCTCGACTTCTCTAGACGTTTATGCTCTTCCAATAGTTCAATTGACACAAAGCTGAGGATTCGAGCACTAACGAACATACAAATCCTAAAATATTGTTGCTAAAAAAGTTTATACAGTTTTTATCGCATTATGCGTATAAAAAAAAATTACCCAATACGATAGAACTATTCTACGATAGAACTATTCTATTCTATTCTCTGTCTGCAAGCGCATTTATTAAAAACTACTAATTTATTAAAAAGAAGAGATAAGAAACGTTTTAAAAGGTGAAAAATAAAATCTTACCCGATTACGTCTCTCTTTTATAATATGAGAATATGCAATTAGAAATTTATCTATAAAAAGTTAGCAGTATATAGTTTAAGTTATGTTTCTATTTCCCAGTTATGAATTATAAAAGAGATATCGTTTATCCCTGTATACGTTTTCTTTATGCTTTTCATATTATTTTTATTTGACAGGATTTAACAAGGTATTGAATTAATTCATAAATCATACTACGATGAAGAATTCTTTTTTTTTAAATACCGTTTATTGAAAATACAGATTTGGCGTACAATGATAAAAAGAGGATGCAGTATCGAGCTTGCATTCATATTCACCGACTCCTCTTCAACGTCTCTGAAAGAAAAATAGGCGATGCCGTTAATTCTATCAAAAAGAGACTATTTGTTTCTGAAGCAACTATAACACCATCGGTCCAATCATCTCTGGCCCCGAAGCTTTTATAGAGTGTTAAGCTTGAAGCAAAGCATTACATTAACGGAAAACTAGTACAGTGTACGCTCTCTAATTGCTATGTTAATTGCACAATTTCGCATAGCAAATTATGTTTGAAGCACCATTGAAAGCTTTTTTTAACGGTACACTATAACGAGTCGAGTCAAATCAGCGTAGCTGAGTACAGCCGACTGATGTCCATTATTAAATGTAGCGAATAAGCGGAAGAAGCTCAGAATAGCAAAATAAAAGGAACTCCGTCCGTTTCTGTGGCCTTAATATCCTGTCATTTCTGCGAATGTGGCATCCATGTCGTCGCAGACTGCCTTATATTTCTCCTTTTCTTCTCTCAGTTCGTCTAAAACACAGCGATCGTTGGAAAATATTGCCTTTGAAAAAAAGGTAGGTCATCATCTACTAAACACCCTACCTTCCTTCATATCGACTTCCTTCAACAACTTCTTCACCGTTCTTTCAGCATGGACGGCGCGTTTCTCAGCCTCTCTCAATTTTTTCTTTAACTGTTTCAGTTGTACTTTAAATTCTTCCACTCGTTGATTAGCCTAAGTGAATAATTTTTAATATGTAAAAGTATGTTAAGAAATTTAACACGGTAAAGCTGATTTGTAATACGAAATATATGATAAGGAAACTTCTTTGAGTTGATCGAATTTTGCTACTTTAAAATTTACATACATACTATACATAGTTCGTAAAGGATGATTACCTTTTCCTCGGATACTTCTAAAGATTTTACTATATTTTGCACAATGAAAAGCTCGTCCTCTCGTTCTACGATTTTTCTGCAAATGCGTTTAAACGTATAAAGAAAATGGTATGGGAATCGTGGAAAAAAGAGAGTAACATAATTATACAAACGCTTCGCTGGTTTTGACTCTCTCCTCGGCGCCTTCCAGTTCTTCTTCAACGAATTGCAACTTCTTCGATATTTCGTCAGACTTTGCGTCCGCATCTTCGGCGATTAATCTTGCATCTTTCAATTCGTGCATTAATTTCTCCATGCGCTCCTCGTCCAGCCGACTTCTGTCTTCTAGTACTTTGCACATTCTACGACAAAAAGAAAGATTCGTTTATTATTCACGCATTCAAACATTCGTGCTAATTACAGAGTTTATGATGTGTCAAAATATTATTCGACAAATTCATCTACCCTAAAAATGTTTTCTTTACAATACGTTACTTAAATTTTAATAAAAATTCTCCGAGTTATCTGATAATAAAGATATAAAATATGACAAAGAATATCTGCTAAGACGAACGATATTTATTTATCGCTTATTAAGAGTATTTCAGTAAACTGTAATATAAACCTTTGAGCATCGTCCGCAAGTTCTGTCGCACGTGCAAGTTTCAATTGAGCAGAAAGACGCAACTCTTCTTTCTTCGTTAACGTTGCCTCGATCTCTTGTACCCTTTTGGTCAACGTAGTTCGATCTTGCTCTGCCTATTAACATCATTCATCAATTACACAATATCGACTTTCGTAAATCAATATGGCACATGTCTTTACGCACCTTAGACCAAGATTTTTCACATTGCTCCAAGTCGGCAGTGGATTGCTCTAAATTCGTCTTGGTAATTCCATAATCTCGTTCAAGCTGCGCCAGCTTCTTCTGTAAATCCCTTACATCGTCGTTCAGCTTATCCGCTCGAAAGTTCTCTGATCTTGCTTTCGCTTCATTTGCTTCGACTTTTTCATTAGCGGCGTCCATCTCCTGCTTCAGCGCCGCAATCTTCTTTTTAATCGCCTCCATGATGATAGTCTGTGTTTTTCTCCCCTCTTATCGCTTATTCTTTGTTCGGCAGTTTAAACCTAATAAATTCATTAATGTTGATATATATACATATATAAACTGATTTATTAATATTACACTAACGTAACGCGTAATTTGTCAGTACACTATTATTATTAATTATCATTAATCAAAGTTGCATCTGTAGCATTATAAATTCGTGAATTGTTATTTAATCTACTTCTTATTTTAATCTTTAATCAGGAATAAATACAAGTTGATAATATAACAACGTTCATATTAAAAGTAGCGTTACTCTGCTTTGGTCTGACTATAATCGCACCGTATCTACTGCATATCTACAATTAGGCTAACGCTACTACAAAATCGAACCGCCATGAGAAATACGCTCGCGAAGAGTAACGAAAAATATCTTTAACCTGTTTCTTTTTAATAAAAAACGATGCGGTAGCACATTTAAACTTGATATAGTTTATACGAATACGAAACGAAGTACTTACTTCAGCCAGTATCGTTCGACGATGCACGATATGAAAAACGAGCGATTTAGCTCTCATACGGCACCCAAGCCGTTGTTGCTACTCACCGGTAAGCAACATTTAATAACAAATAGCGCGAAAGAAAAGACAAGTTAGAGTTAAAAGGGGGACAACACTCACTGTAATCGTGGCGACGATCCGCGATGAGAATGCACAACCGGATGCCTTCGAAAGCTAAGCTAAAATAAAACGAAACCGGCGTCGCAGGCCTCCTCGAACTTCTCGATCCAATCCAATTCTATAATTGCTTGTCGCCTTGTTGGCTGTCGTCCCGATTTTATCTCGGCTCTTTACTGGCTGATTGCTGCTCGTCGCACTGACTACCAACGAAACGCGATCTCCACCTCCCTTATGCTATTCTCGGCTCGAAGGAATTCCGTTCTTGTTTCCTGTCGGCTACGTAACCTAGTCTACATAAATACCATACCGAGATAAACATTCTCCCGTTCTCCGTTATCTTAAAAAATGTCTAATTTCGCGCCATATCGTCCACGTTGTCTTTCTAATATTTGTATTTTCCCGCTCCCAACGGCGACCCCTGTCGATCCATCGAATCGATGTCGTTCACTACAACGTGCATTACACGTTATAAACGCGGGAATTCTGTCGTCTTGATTATCCAAAACGGTACGTTAATTCTTTTATATATTAAAATAAAATTCATTGTAGCTGCATATATTAATTTAATAAAGTATATTTACTATCGATCATAGTGAAATACACATATACTCTATTTAATATACTTTGTATTAATATTTTTTTATGCTTACATCGAAAATATTACTTTCTTATAGAAAGTTGAACTTATGAAAGGATTAGTTGGGCTCATGATAAATTAAAATACATCTATGAAGCAACATGGCTTTATTGACATCTTTCCTTGTATAAAAGGAATAATTACACATCTCGTTCAGCTAGTATATTTTTCATCGCTTGTCGTTACAAATAAATGCGCAGCATATACGTTTTTTCATTCAGAATGTATATTCACTCCTATTATTATCGACCATTTTTACAAAGGTATGGATAAGAAATATAAATACAACTTATTAAGTCATTACGCGATGAACAAAATTGAACGCAACTTTTCGACACTTTGCACTTCGTTTATCTTTTCTTTTTTCTTTTCTTATATTCAGAATTGTTTTACGACACTAGTAGATTATTTCAATATCAATTTTGATTATAGCTTGAAGAATACCGTCTCTCAATGATGTCATTGATCAGACATGATCTCTCAATTATGATTTTAAAAGGTTTAAAAAGAGCAGTTTTCAACAAACACCCAGGTTATTATA